GGGGGGGCAAAGTTTGACCGAAAACTTAGCTAACTCAAAAGTATAAGGTCTATAAAAAGAAGAAATGAATCATGATCTGAGCCAAAAATTAAGCCAGTAACTTAATATATTTGCATTCCTGAGAATTTTTTTTAAGAAGTTGTGTGAAAATGTCCAGTGTGGAGAGACCCCTGAGATTCCCGACTACCCTGGGCTTACGGAGTTAACCCTTCCAGCCCCATGCACGTATATTTTCAACAGCGCTTGTACCTCCCACCGTCCCAAGAGCGTATATTCTCAATTTCGCTGGGTACCCAATTTGCGCATTTTTCGAAATTAGCGAACCTAATTAAACTTTAGTTTTCATAATATTTGTTCATTTGCCTTGAAACACTGTTACATGTTATCATCTAAACCTCATTACAAAGATACTACATCACTTTTTAGAATGCATGCCTCTTTTTCTGAACTACTGCTGTGTTGGCTGGGACTGGGGTTAGGGAGTGCACAAAGTGGCTGGGGCTGGAAGGGTTAATACTGCCAAACAAAACTATGTCAGAGACAAAAACAAAATCCGTTGACATTGTCATATGTGTGTTTTTTTCTCTACTCCAATCACCGCTACCTTCTTCTTTTTCTTGGCTGGGGCCTTTGGCGCTCTCTCCTCCACGGGGAGTAACTCTGTCAGTTTGTCCAGGTCGGGGATAAGGTCGTACTGGTTGTCTCCCTGGCCAGAGAAACAGTCCATGGCGAAGTGACCTGAGAGGAAGACAGCCAATTTGTTTTTAGTTTTGGTAAGTGTTTTACGGCAGTTGCAACACAATAAGGTCACATAAGTGCCGAAGATTAGAGGTGTTACAAGAGAGTAACAAACGCAAAAAAGAAGGAGGGGGGATAGAGACCATAGATGTTTGATAGGAAAGAAGGAGCAAACCACACCAGAGCACCCCCGCCAACCACCCACAAGGAATTTGTTACACATGACGGCAGACGAGAAAACGAAGAAATGATACAGTGAAGTCTGCTTACATACACCCAGATCTACCAACCCACCAGGCTTTCTTCGGTTCACCTGGGATTTTCATCATTTTACTTTAGCGAGGTGTCTTAGTAAACAGAAGAAAGAAAAAACAAATCAGAGATGATATTTTTTTTTAGTTTACCGCTATAGTCGGATGAACCATGTCTGGTTTGAGCTGACGTCACAGTATGTCGTCATGGTTACACCAACCACAGGGGTGACATTTCTCCGAATTCTTCTTCCCATTTCATTCAATTTTACTCAAACTTTTCTGGAGCACATGCAGCTGGTACCACAGATTACAAAAATGCAATTTTTAGAAAATTTTCTAAATATTGGACATGGTCATCTCAACAGAAAGCCGAAGAAATACGGCAAAGATATAGAAGAAGCAGACCACAGCATTGTGGTATAACTGTTTTGGGGGGGGGGGTTATGTTAGTAAGAGTTTTACAGCTCTTGCAACACAATAAGGTCATATAAAGTGCTGGAGATTAGAGGTGTTACAAGAGAGTAACAAACACAAAAGAAGAAGGAGGAGAGATCTGAACGATAGACGTTTGATGGGAAAGAAGGAGCAAACCACACCAGAGCACCCGCCAACCACCCACCTACAACATTATCAGCACTCACAATTTTTTAATTTGTTTTAAGACACAGTGAATAAACTGAGGGCGACAGGAAGCAGACAGTGGTCTCACCGTGCCCGCCACATCTACGACAGACTGTGTTCAGCTCAGCTCCCAGCTCAATCTTGTTCTCTCCCTTGAAGTTCCACTTGCGACGTTTTTTCTCGTCTAGACTGTAGTCAAGAAATTGGGAAGAGACACAAAATGTTGATAACAACGTAAAAATACATCAAATACATCTGTCCTTAAAATGTTAAAGTTCAGCATTTATCACTCCCCAGTCCCCC